AATGCAGGGAGGCCAGGGCTCCTCAAGGTTCTCAGGCAGGGCTCTATGGGAATATCTGACCGCTTAGGTTATTTACAAAGGATTTTTTCCTGTCTTACCTACCACTGCTGTGAGATTTTCCCCTCAAACAATGGCCATTATCTGAAATAACAGTTCAATGTCACAGATAACAGGCCACCAAAATGAATTAGTCACCACCTCTTGTCATTCACTGTCCCTTACATTCTTGTCTTCTGTTCCTATTTTTGTTTTTCGATCAGCATTTTCGGGAAAATAAAGATTTGCTAGATCTTCACACTAACTTGCACTTGGAGAAAACAAAATGTGGGTGGCGCTTGGGAGACCTGGTTTGTGTAGAAGTTTAAAGTCAGCACGTTGTGAGCCGGATGGTGGGCTCCGCCTATCCTAGGTAATTGCCCCTAGACCTGGGCTCTTTGCTTAACTTTCCATTGTTGAATTGGGAATAAATTGGAATTGGGGCTTTGGGATTTAGCTCAGGGGTAAATCTCTAGCCTAGCAAGGGTGGGGCTCTGTGTTTGCTCCTTTCTTGGCGGGTGGGAGGGGGGAGATGAATTTTTGCTATTTGCTTTAGCTTTTATTCCCAATTAAACTGTGGGCTTAACAAAATTGATCCAAATTTGTCTGCAATTAAACACGTGGATTCTTACGGTTTGCCATTCACTCTACAAATTCTTTCATCCAATGTCATCTCTGCACGGTATTGATAGAAACTGTCCAAACTTATAAAGTTATCTAATGTATAAAATATGAATCACTAAAAGCAAGCATTTGTATAATTCTACTTTGAGACAGTCATGATCTTTTGAATAATGTAGCAAAGATAATAGCAAAATTCTCTAGACAGTCCTCAATCTACTAACACAGCGCTCTATTTGGAAGAGAAATGTGCAAATAATGTTTTAAATTTTAAGATTTGTTCTTATGTGGGGGGGAAAAGCGATTTTGATGTGTGGCACACTTTTCTGCTGACCTCACTATAAAAACTAGGGATAAATTTAAGTACAAACTTAAATTAGAATTTACTTTAAATATGCGTCACGGAAAGCTGGAAATGTCTGTCAGTTTTCACTCTTGAAGCTGCTGTCTTGACACTTTTAGTGTTAGCCAGTGTCTGTCTATCCAAGAGCTACTCTGGCCCTCTCCAGAGCTTCCCAAACCCGCTGCCTGGAGAGCCACCCTCACACCCCTGAAAGCAATCTCCACCCCACCCCATCCCCCACCCAACCCTCTCTCCCCCCCTCCCCCCCTCTCCCCCCCCCCCCCCTCCCCCCCCCCCCCCCCCCCCCCCCCCCTCTCTCTCTCTCTCTCTCTCTCTCTCTCTCTCTCTCTCTCTCTCTCTCTCTCTCTCTCTCTCTCTCACACACACACACACACACACACACACACACACACACACACACACACAGTCACACTTGTGCCCAGGACATCAAAACCCGAAGAGATTTCCCTGGGGAAACAAATCCTGCCTGGAGAAATCTCCCCATTGGTTGTTTATCCGCAGAAATCTACATGTTCCAGGGGATGGTGCATCCATAATCAGTCTGTCCCTATAGGACTTGGGTCTTGGCGACCTTTTTGTGACCTCTCCCGCCAGAGGAGGCTGCTGTCACTTTAAAAATTTACTGAAAGAGGAGCCCGTCGTCTGGCTTCCGACCACTCTGGAGATAGCTCCCTTTCTCCCTCGCCCCGGTTTCTTTCTGGATGGCCGAGCAGATCCCCTTTAAAGAGACAGTTCATGAAATAGAAACCCCGCGGCTGGGCGCGGAGTGGCTAAAGGGGACGAGCGAGTGAGGGTCTGGACCCGAGGAGGCTCTGGGAGGATCTGGGGGCCGTCCTGGCCTGGCAGGCCCCCCACCTTCGCAAGCTCTCCTGCCGGTCTTGCCCCTGGAGCTGGGAGAGAGGAGTGGAAGAAGTTTTAGTAGGTTTCAGATAACTTTCATTACACATCGGGCTGATAAGAGCAAGAGAAAGTGAGGAAAGAGGGAGGTGGTGAGAACAGAAGGAATAGCTGCGAGCTCATTTAGGAAGGGGGAAAATCCCAAATACACCAAACCCGGGTCATTTCTGGTCTTAAAACACTGTTGGCGGACAATAAACCCGAAACGCGTGGTCCCGGCGGCGAACAGCTCCCAGGGAACGACAAACTTATCAGACACCCATTTGGAAGGCGAGACACAAGGCTTTTATTTTTTTATTTTTTTTTAATGTCTCGAAATGTTACCGGGTGTTCTTTGAAAAGACTTTCCTACACGAGTGCCGGGTGCTGCTGATTTTATTTTTGCTTAATTCTGCTGTGATTGCTTTTGATTGCTGAGTTGAGGCCGTAGAAATCGGAAGGTAAGCGAACTCACTTTAAAAAGTCTTGGCTGTGGGCAGGGTGTCGCTGGGGACGGCGTCTGCGTCCCGGGTCTGCGCTGAGCTCCCCGCGTCCCCGGAGCGTCGCCGGTCGCCCGGGCTCTGCCGCCTCGGGTGGGTCTGCCCGGCTGGCTGCCGCCTTCTCGGCTCTCGCATCCTCCTTCCCCTCCCTCCCACGGTCTGTCGGTCAGGTTCGGGGACGCAGAAGGTGGGGTTGCCAAAAATCAGAATTCCTGGCACCAGCCAAGCGACTTTGGAAGTGGCTTTCGGCGGAGTCCCACCTTGCCAAGTAACAGCTTCGCTGGCCAACAGCGTGTGTGCTGCCTCAAGAAAGTCACATTCGGTCCCTTTGGCTGCAGGCTGGGATTTTTCCCCCTTTTCGTTGGGTATTTTTTTTTTTTTGAAAGGGCCTTTCTCTCAAGTCCACCTAAAGGAATTATTGTTATTATTATTATTTTTGAAGCTGAACAGCTTTTGAAAACACAGGACTGTGTTAGATGGGGCGTGAAGATGCGTTGTTTATTGTATTCACATTTCAGAGGAGATTGAGACTTTTGGGCACAAATGAAGTCCTGGTAGCAAATCAAAAGTGAATAACTCGCCAGGGGTGAAGATAGTTAGGCGGCCTTGGGGCAGGAATACTGAGAGTAAGGGCATCAGTATGTTGGGGAAACCTTTGAATAATCGCGTACTTAAAAGACCACATTCTTTGACAACGTGTTTTAAAAAATTAGCCTCGCTGTTGACAGAGACTGTGTCAGGGATGCTAACACGGAATAAAATTACACCTATAATTTTTTTGTGTACAGCATTGTAATCTTCAGTTCCTTACCTTGCTTGGAAAGCGGAGGGAGTAGATGCTTCTTGACTTTAAAATTAACGAGTTTTCCACTTCTTTCTGCAGCATGAAACGAGAGCAGCATAGCATTTCAGTGACTCCACCGATTTCCTTTATTAAATATTTCTCTGGGTGTCAGTTGGCATGCCTCCCACCCCTTTTTTTCTCAGTCAACAAAACAAACAGCACACCCCAAACCAGAATAAATTAGCAGACCAAATAGAATTCCACTTAGAAAAGAAAATCAAATTTTAAGAACCGTGCTAATTATTTGCCTTCTCTATGTCTGGGAAGGGAAAAATCTCAGTGCCCTTTGAGTTGTTCAGTCTTGAGAGATGAAATGTCTTAAAGTTTGTAATTTTATAAATAACGTATTTGTTGAAATTTGTCCTCCATAGAAAGGGTATTTAACTCTCTGTTAGAGTGGAGAGGTGGAGGGAAGAAGAGGGAGCAATTATTGTCTTTCTCTTAGGTTACCATTTTTCTTTTTTAAATCCTGGGGCGACTTACTGCCCTTCAATGGCCCCATGGTCAAGGGCTTATTCATAGTGCTTTAGGCTGGGGCGCTCAGAACCGAGTTCTTGAAGTTTATGGTGAGTTAATGACTTAAATCTGCAAGTGGGTGATTATCGGAGTTCTATGCAAAGCTGCTCTTGGTCCATATAGTGAAGGGTTTAACGTTAATTTCCCAGGCAGGTATAGCAGGAGCAGAGTTCAAGGGTTATTTAATTCATGAATTCTCATCCTAGAGTGTGTTGTTTAGTCTGGAGCAGAAACCGTCCTCACAGTTTGCATTAGCTGATTGACATAGCATTGCCAGCCCCTAGTTCTCCACCATGAGGTCAGTGACTCCATAGCTTTTAATATTGATGCTTAGCAAGTTATTGAGGTTAATGACTCAGAAAAGGCTTGATCTGAGTATATGAAACCTTAAAATTAAAAGCTTCCCATTTCAACGCGGATTTCGCAAGTGTCCTGAGTGACATTAACATTTAGTAGAAGCCAAGCACACATCTTCAGAAAATGATGAAACACTGCCATAAGGTAATGCTGGCAACATGTGAGACCTGCTAAGTCTATGCTTACCTGCAAACCACTTTGCTATTTTGTTTACTGGGCATAGTATGTAAACATGTATTGATATGGGTTAGTTAAACCTTAGGTTGTCATACTTTGCATATTTATATATGTGTATATATATATATATATGTATAATTTTCTTTTGCTTGTCTTTAGTTTGCTCAGAAACATCTATGAGACAATTCTTTAAGCTGCAGGCATAATTTTATGGTGAGGAAATGCAAACTAATAAAAGAAATTTAATAATGTTTAGATGAAAGTTTTTAATCAAATTAAAATGAAATAATGTAAAAGCGCCCACCCAGATGAGGAGGCTAAGCAGAACTACAATACTGACAGCTGAGTCATCCAAACCCAAATATTGAATATTTAGTTTAGAAATATTATTTCGCACATGCCGTTATATGACTTTTTGGTGAAAACACAATAGAAAAAATTAAGTCATTGAGATTATTCATGGATGAAGAAGAAGCAAGCTTGTTTTGAAAGCAATTAATCAGTTTCTGTGATAAGTTAAAATTGCTTTATGCCTTTTGTAAAAGCAGTATAGCTCATGCTTCCTTTAAGAATATATGTGCTGCCTGACCTTTTCCTTGTAAAGATTCAAAGGGAGAACACGCATTTCAATGGTAGATTTTCAAGGAACTGACTACTTTCAGCAATGGGCCGACATGGCAATTTATTGTTCTCATCTTCTTCCTTCCAGATCTTAGATGAGTTTTGCAATGTGAAGTTCTGCATAGATGCCAGTCAACCAGATGTAGGAAGCTGGCTCAAGTACATCAGATTTGCTGGCTGTTATGATCAGCACAACCTTGTTGCATGCCAGATAAATGACCAGGTATGTTTTAAAGATTTTCTTGTCTTATTTAAGAACACTAAGGTATCAGGGAAGCCTGAAGAATAAAAATAAAACAGGGAGCTGCAATAGACTCCTCTGACCTGGTTGTGTTGATACGGCAGAAGCTAACACAGAGACACAAGATACAGAGCTAAGACATTTTCAGCATTGCCTGTTTCCACTGCTGTTTTCTTTGGGTGATCTGTTCATGATGTCTTACCATCGATATCAATGCTGCAGCTATTGTAGTTTACTGAGTGACTTAGAAACTAAGTACCTGATACTACTGTTGCATTTTCTCTTTATCATCCTAATATGTACATTCATACAAAGTATAGAGCTAAATTTGAGATATATTCAAAATTTGAAAATGATATATTTGAAATGTTATAATAGAGTTTTATTTGAAATAGTGGTTAGATACGTATGCATGTCATTGGTGCAGACTACCTGATTATGCATTATAAAGTGCATAATTGTGTTGAATTACCTAAATCAACATAAAATAAGATTTTTTACTCTTCAAATAAGCAAACTATTTGTCTTTTATGAAAAGCAAAAGTTTAAAGTTGTCACTGTTGGATCACTTTGTGATTTTATGGAAGACTAAGAAGTAGGACCGACTTAAAGAAAAGTAACCATGAACTAAAGGTCACAACATTATCCTGAAACTAATTTTGCACTTAATAAAATTATGACTCTTGTAGATTTATCTGAAAGTGCCTAAAGAATAAGGGGGTTATCCTGTTGACTTTTTTTTTTTTTATCACAAACATCACTGGGTTAAAATTTAATTGTATCACAATCATATATTTCCTTTAATGCCATGGTGACTTAAATGTGCTTCCAAGACCCTGTTGAAATGGTTGCTTGGCAGATCTACTACACCAAGAAAATTAAAAGTTTAAATTAGATGGTTGCAATTGAAAGCAGTTAAATAAAGCTAGCGCCATCAGCCCAAGACTCCCAGCCATCATTAGGAGATTATTCTTTGGCTTTTCACCAGCTCCCAGATCATTTTTTTCTGGCTAAACTAAACATAAGGTAGTAAGTTGTAAAATTATGTTTAAATGGGAATCACTTAAATCTTCAGCATAATCAAAAACAATAAACTAATCAATTGGGTTTTCCCTTTGCTGTAAAAAAACCAAAGTGTTATTGACAAATGAAAATATTATTAAATTAGCTATTGATTTTGAGAACAGTATATCCCAATCCTGTCCTAGGAGTTATTGTCTCCAGCAGCAAAAGCACTTTTGGAGCATCTCCTGTTTACAGATTGGGAAATGGGTAGGTCTAGTAAGGGGTAAACTGTGCTGTGCTTCCTAAAATGGAAACTATGGGACCTCAAAAGATCCCTTTAATGAAATAATATAAATATATCTTAATGATTATTTGCTGTTCATATTCACTGACAACAGATGTATATCAGTATTTTTCTAAAATTATTGAAAGGTGACTCAAGAATTCTACTTGTAGCTAATTCAAGGCCACTTGTGGCCAACTTTGCATTTAATTTTTATTTCTGATGTTTTATGATAAGTAAGCTCTTCTTGCAAAACTTGGTTGCATTTAAAGGGGAAGTCCTGTGGTTTCTAATTGTGTGTGAATCAGGCTGCTCATTGTAGTTAGTGTTTGTAATTTTTCCAATTAGTTTGAAAGTACACATTTTATAGGCATTGTTTCTAGAGAAAACATGTTCCTCATTTTAACAATATCTAATGTTTTACCTGAAGAAACAGAGAAAAAATTGAGAAAGACACAGAACACCATTATGAGATACGTATTTACAGTTTCCTTAAGTATTCATCCTAAACTTCTATATTACACTAGCCAAAATTAAGATGGTTGTACAATGAGCACATATCAAATAACTTAATCGTGAAACTGATATTGCATGGTCAAGTAGGTTCATCTATACACTTAAGAGAAAAGTCAAAGATAGAAGACGGCTGTGATAGGTGTCTTTGTAGACTACAGCCTTATACTTGGCACAGTTAACAAGACCCAAGAAGACAGCACCTTAATAGCACATATCTGTATATTATAAACATATTCATCTCTTACTCCTCTGCAATTCCAGAAAGGCCATTTAGCTGGGCATCTCTGGACAGCTTTGAAATGTAAATGTTGGGCCAGGTGCAAAGATGCAGAGCTGACAGCAGAGACCCTCCAGATGTGCTTTTGCATCCTCTTTTCTGTGGGAGGATCTGTCAAATGGTGGCTAGGCACAGCCCATCTCATTCTAAACACACCCGTCCCATCGTTGGAGATTCCATTTACTCTCTAGACACTGAGAGAAGCCCTGCATAAGGGGTAATTGTTAAATTAGTGACACCAGCTTACCTGTCCAGTACCAGCCTGTAGTATTCTAGAATAAATCATAAAATTGCTCTCCTTTGCTCTGATTCTTAGAAGAATGTTAAGTTATTAAAAGAATTTTGATGGCATAATAGGCAAATATTGTACACTCTGAAAAGAAAGAATTTCGGGTAAATTTTTCAGCTGTGATCCAGTTTTGGTGATATTTAGGTTAGCAAATAAAGAAGGCAATGATTACCCCCAAACAAATGACAAGTGTGTGCATCATAGTGTGTATTCAAAAAATTCCTAATGCTGACGTTAAAACTGAATGAGTTTAAATCAGCTCCATAACAAGGTGGAAGGATAAGATCTACAAAGGAAAATAAATGTGGATGCTAAGATTCTGAAGTTTGGTAGGAGGCAGCTGTTGGAACATGGACCCTGGATAAAACCCATGCTGCTCTTGTGTGATTGGTGGATTTTGTTTTTTAAATAATACTAAGAACGAATGTAACCTGAATTATGTCGTAAAATAGAGAAACAGGGACCCCACAATGAACCATTTCCCCTCCTACTTTTGCATAAGCACTTTATCCCAGGTGATCTCCCTTGGCTTAAACTTTTTAACAGATTCACATGCATGTGTGTGTGCTCATGTGTGTGCAGGTGTGCATGTGTGCATGCGATCATTTGTACCTGTGTGTGTGTGTTTTTATTTCAGATATTTCGGAATGAGCTTTGAAAATGAGCTTTCTTTCTTGACACAATTGCCCAGAAAGAGGCAGGTCTTACGACTTTAGATGTCTCTTTTTCATTTTACATTCTCAAAATTATTGCTGTGATGTTGTGGGGCGCAGAAATTCTGGGTGTGCTGGCATTGCTGCCGAGATATAATTTCTAAGTAGCTTCAAGTCTGACTGATGTTGTATTCCCTGACTGAAAGTACTGAGTTAACTGTAGTAATTTATCTTTATAAAGGAAGGCCATGCCAAAGACATGAGGACTGAGACCCCAGTCACAGACAAATCATAGAGTAGTGCAACCCTCCAAACACCCAAACTTCGTGATCCTTGGTATCTTGCATACTTTCCCTACATTCCTTAAAGTTTGTGTTCGATAGTATGTAGCTGTACTGCTGACACGCAGCAGTGAGTTGGGAATATTCGTTCCTGGCAGCAGACGGTAGGTAGATGCATTAGATAACTTGGGTGGCTTACAGGAGCAGCAACTGGTTCTGAGCAGTAGGTTGGGGTGAGAGGGAAGGCAGAGAGCTGGATACTGGAAGCTGTCCCAAGGCTAGATCCTCAAGGGGACCAAACATGAGCTTTATCAGTTATTTAGAGGCTTCGTTTATACCCACCCCCACATATTTAAAGTCAAATAGTCCAAACATCTAAATGATTTACTGAGGCTTAAAATTTCTTGTTATTTTTATACCTTTCTTTTGAAGTTGTAGAGATTGCTTCCTTTTATAAACCAGGGTGGTTGGAGGATGTAGCACGTTTTTTTAGACTTGGCCTCAACCTACCTTTGCATCTCCCTTTACCCCCTTTCAAGCTTACCTGTGTCTGTCTATTCTTTACCTCAAATCAAAGGCCAGGCTACCTACAGGGCATCTATGATCCCCAGGCAATGCTGGTTCTCCAATATATTCAGAAGTTTTGTGTTCTTATGGCGGTTTCTACTCCAAAGCATCTTTAGAATAAAACTCTAAATTATAATGAGAGGTTTAAGCTCAGCTCCTGTAAGTTGGCCTTTTAGATGAGAGCCAAGTCCATCTTTGTATCATGGCAATCAGAATGATCTGAGGATTTTCTGCGGGATAATTTATATGTGTGCAAGTATTAGTATTCTGCACCACGGAAGGAACACAGTCATCTGAGTCCTGTCTGGCCCTCACATGGTCTTCAAATGGAGGAAAGACCTCAGAAAGCCAGGACATTATTAATCTTGTCATTTACACAAAGTGATAAGTACTTTCATTTTTAAATGGGCCCTTGACAGCTGGTATTTAGTAAGTAGAACCAGGGAAGTCTACCGTTGCCTCTGAATAGAAAGAAAGGCTTCGATAAGAGGTTACCTCATGCCTGCCGTCCATTCTGAAGCAATGAGATAGGGAAGAACGTATGTGCCACAGAGAACACGAAGTCAGAATTCACTTAGGGGACCCAACCAGCTGCCGAGTGGTTAATGAATGGCAGCAAGACTCCACCGTGTTTTCAGTTGGAATGGGCATTGTTCTCGTTTGTGCTTTACCTTATAAACTTTTAACTGCTTCCAGGACGACCATGGTTGATTTGGCACACCCGCTTCCACTCAGCCCAGGCTCATATGAGTGATGCTATCGGACTGTGTGACACCAGAGCAGTGTTGTTATTGCAAGCTTATTATGGGCTCAATTATTAACTTATTTTCTTTGGCCTTTTACTGAGGAGGGGAAAAAATTCCCTTTCCTTCAACATTCACTTAATACATATGGTGCAAAAACGGCCCAGCGAATCAACTCTGAGTACAGAAAATGGGGAGCTCTTTAACCTCTCCCCACTTTGTAGAAACTTTGTTTGCCTTCACTGTCAGGTAATTTGTTAATTTCTCTTCCTTTACAAGGATTTCTGTTCATGTTTGTGTGCCTTCTTTTGATGTTAAAGTTATTATTGGCTTTGGGCATTTTCTTTGCTTTGCTTTTAAGTCAAGTC